CTGTGTTTATAGGCAATGTTTATAGAAACTAGAAACAACAGAGAGTCAACTAAGATGAACATCTTACTTTACAAGCTGATGAAACTGATCGTCATTATAATATCGATTTTGATAGCATGCGCCAGGTAAATATAAACAAAGAGTGCGGGCGGTAGTAAAAACACTAATGGAAATACTCTAGCACATTAACATAATGTTATCCAATAGCTAGACTTAGCTTACTGATCAAATACAATTCAATCGTTATATATATATATATATATATATATATATATATATATATATATATATATATATATATATATATATATATATATATATATATATATATATATATATATATATATATATATATATATATATATATATACTAGCGTACCCGTTTCCCGCGTTGCCGCGGGATAGAAGAAAATTGGACTAAATGTATTAGAAGGATTACACCAACGCGTTACCAATCATATGTTCTTACACGCGTGACCGTCTTTTCTAAAAGTGAGTTATTTAAATGTAAACAATACCTGCGCTTGGATCTTAAATATTGGGACACGGGTTTACCTACACTACCGCATGAAAACAATGAGTGTACATTAATCACTCACCGAAATAATATGGTAGAACACACTTCGGTGACCGCCTATGTGTTAGAGACGTAGAGGGGCGCTCTCAGGGCCCCCACCCCCCGATTACATTTCAGCATAGGTGCGGCGTACGACCCCTGGCTCCTTAACACTAACAGGCGCTATAGTGCCAAATAGCATCCTGTTAATAATGATGCAGATTTCGTCATTCGCTAAAGTATTACACCTTACTCTCTATGCAGGACGCTCGATTAAAGGATGCCAAGTGCCAACATAGTCGCTCTAAAACTCTGGGCGCCAAACTGTGTATTGACGAAAGTTCTACCCTATATGGCGCCGCCCATAAGAAACTTTAGTTTTCTTTTTCGCAGAAATATTCTCGGGAGTATTCTCATCTACTCCCTAAAGTTTCATGGTACTCGGATGAACCGCATCCGAGTTTTATTTTTTATAAACCGTGTATAGAGAAAGAAAAAAATCGCTCCCCCGCCCCTGGGGCGCCGCCCTTGCAATATTAAACAATATTTTTTTGCAGAACCCTACCATTGAGTGATCTAATCATCTCCCCAAAGTTTCATGGTACGCTAGTATATATATATATATATATATATATATATATATATATATATATATATATATATATATATATATATATATATATAAAGCAATGTATGTGTGTGTGTCTGTCTGTGTGTGTGTGTCTTTTATGCATTACCACACCTCTTATCACATCGCCATCGAACTTTGGGAAGTCGTTAAGAACATTCCTGGGGAGGTTTCTGGAAAAAAAAAATTCAAATTCGCATGTGTGTCGCCCCGTCAGGGCGCGATTTTGTTTTTTCTCTATATACGGTATAAAAAAAATAAAAGTCGATTGCAAATTCACACTGTTCATCCAATCGCCGTCAAACTTTAGGGAGTTGATTAGAGCAATTCAGGGAATGGTTCTTTAAAAAAAAAAATCATTTTTAATTTCGCAAGGGCGGCGCCACGGGAGGGTGCGATTATCCACTATATATGGTTTATAAAATAAATAAAAGTGAGTTGCAGTAACACCGTTCATCCGATAGACATGAAACTTTGAGATGATGTTGAGAATAATCTTGGGGAGGTTCCTGCGAAAAATAAATTTCACATTCACAGGGGTGGCGCCTCGGCAGGGCGCGATTTGTTTTTTTTCTCTATATACGGTATATAAAAATAAAAGTCGAGTTTGGTTTGACACCATTCAACCCATCGCCATCAAACTTTGGTGATTTCATAAGAAACTCTGAGAAAGGGTTCTGTATAAAAATCACTTTTAATTTCAAAAAGGGCGGCGCCACGGAAGGGTGCGATTTTTCTTTATATACGGTATATAAAAACAAATGTCGATTTTGGTTTGACACCGTTCATCCAATAGGCATGAAACTTTGATGAGTTGATTATAACTCTCAAGGGTAGGGTTCTGTAAAAAAAAGTTAATCTAGCAAGGGCGGCGCCACGGAAGGGTGCGATTTTTCTCTATATACGGTAAATAAAAAGAAACGTCGATTGCGGTTTCACAGCATTAATCCGATAGCCATCAAACTTTGGTGAGTTCACTAGAACACTCTGGGGAAGGATTTTTGTTAAAAAAAAATCATTTTTAACTCCGTAAGGGCGGCGCCACGGGAGGTGCGATTTTTCTCTATATACGGTAAAAAAAATAATAAAAGTGAATTGCGCCGACACAGTTCACACGATCGTCATGAAACTTTGGGAAGATATTGAGAATACTCCTTGAGAGGTTTCTGCGCTAAAAATATTTTCAAATTTGCAGGAATAGTGCTTTGCGACAGGGTCGTTGAGCTACAAAAATGAGAGTAGGCAACTATTGAAACAGACACCGCTGAAGAAAAACAAAACTGGATTATAAATGTTAAAATAAAAAGTGTGTAGCATGATATTTGTTTGTGTGTTCATTTTTACCATAGCATAACTGTATCTGGTTCGTTGAGTCTGTGCTTATTAGGCTAGTTCATTGATTATTTTGACGCATTTCATTATTAGCAAATAACTACTTGGATTAGCGGTAGAGCGTTAGACTACCATCTGGAAAGTCTCTCTAATATGGGATTAAGTCAGTGGAATGTCAGTGAATCCACCCAGCTCTGATTGGCATCTAACTACCTAACTTAGGTTAAGAAGGGTAAAGGCGGCTGGAATAAACAAATGAGTTCTACTTCTTCTGCCGAATCTTTACATTTTTATATAACTATCCCGCAGGTAATTCACAACAGCAAACAATTTCTGCTTTTTAAAAAAAAGTATTATTGTAAGCCCATTTTTTATACCATTTTTAAAACTCTCTTTAACATCTAAATGCTGCTAAATAAAATAAAATCGAATGTTCATCTCATTATTATTAAGTGAATCCATTTTTTAAAATATTTTTATGTGAGCGATATGGTGTTTCTCAATGGTGAAGTTTTGCTGTCATGCGGGCATATATTGGTAAACGTGGTAACCATTTTTTTAGCAATACGTTGCATTGTTGCAGAATAGTAGACTGTGAAGGAAACTGTGATTTATGACTGTTTAAAAAACTGCGTTCTTCTACAGTAAAGTGGAGGTGGGGGGTGAGGGGGGGGGGGGGGGGGGGCGAGATCGGAAGTTAATTTTTTTACTTCAAATATCACTTTTTTTAGACTCCCTGGCGGACGAGGTTCGTTTGCTGAAGACAACTACATATCTCCACTATCAAACAATTACTGCATTACACTTCGCTAACCGGACGAAGTTCGTTAGCTAAAAATCGCAACATAACTCCATAATCAAACAATTACTGCATTACACACTGTCGCTTGGTGGACAAATTCTTCGGAAGTTTAAATCGAGAAAAAAAAATTTCTGAAATAGGAGTCAACGGGATATACTTCGCATACTATTTTGTGAGACCTGACCAAGTATGTCGACAGTGTAATTACTGTTAGTAGTTCTATAAGATTTATCGATTTGTATATTGTGTTACGCCTATAGGAAAGATATTGACCAGTTTAAGGATATGTATTAATTTAAAGGTTTGCCCAATATAACGGACACCAATCTATCAGCCAGATAGTTGGCGAACGCTCCCGGATTCGTTTCAATGATTATACACAGATGGCGACAAGCCTAAATAAAAGAAAGCTAACACACTAGTTCACTAGGACTCGTAATTGATGTCTAGGGGAAACACTAGAGAAACTACTGATGCCAACAATACATTTAATCTGCATATAACTTGTAATGAGTGTACAAAGTCGTGGCAGAACACTAGATTTATACAGGAATAAAATAGATTTACAGAATGAACAAAACCCAACTTACAATTTGCGGGAAAAAATAATATGATACACTATCACAGCTTTTAACACTTCAGAAAAATCACCACAGTTTACACAACGCTGCTATAAGCATAACGTATTACTAAGCCACTAGTAATATAAGAATATGCTACTTAAATTATTTAGCACTACACGGCAACACACAGGGCTTATGTCTCTCAACGACGTCTGGTCAAGTAACTGCCTCGAGACACCTGTGCGCAGTCTATTTATAGACTTAGGCAACATGGAAGGTCACCTTCAAATCATAAGGCCATTGGTGGGGGGTATCATCTGGTCTGAATCAATCAATCATATCTTGATGGAAAATTTCTGAGTCTAAGACTCTCTTAGTAAGACAGCGGAAAAAACCGGTCATTGCACCACAGACCATATATGGTATTATAACAAATGTCAAAATAAAATTACCAGACCTAAGTAGGTCACACCAATGAGTCAACAGTTTATTGAGTTGGGCGTATAGATGAAGAATTTTTCATTTCAAGGTCACGATTAATTCTTTACGCTAGGGATTCATCTGATGAAGAAAACGGGAGGGGGGAGGGGGGAAATGGACCCTGAAAAAAAATTCATTTTGTTTGGGGGGGGGGTGGTCGGAAGAGATGCTAGGGAGAAACTCTGATAAAAAACAACAGGTAGATAAACATAATAGTAACTACATTTTGTTGTTAATAAAATAATTTGTATATAATGTTTGTATGAAAATAAAAAAAAACGGAAAGTTAAGCGGTTTAACAGATACAAAACGTTTTGTAATTTTTATTATCTGCCTTAGCATACAAGCATTTTATTAAATACGCAATGTACTTCTGGTTACTTACGCTGAGTAATATAATGTAAACCAAACACTGCTCATAGTGTTTGTAAACAAAGAGTACGTAAAAAAAGATTAAATTATATTTTGTATGCTTAGTTTTTAATTTAATTTTTTTACAAAAAGCTGACATAAACATTACAGATTGCAATTTTAAAAAGCTTTAGTATTTTTTCTTCTCACTGTTAGTTCATTTCTTCAGTTAGACCTAAATCATGTATCTCGCCTTAGTTTTAAATGTTTTAATTTTTTTTTGCTCCTAATAGCCTTCATTAGATCGACCGACTGGACGATTGTAAGCATTCTCGTGAACGACAGCTCACTAGATTGTGATTGCGTCTAGCTAGTAAATATAACTTATCTCCCATTCCGCTCTTAAATATAGTAATCTATCGAGTGATTTAATATTTTATTTCCCCTTAGTTTCAACAACGTTTAATTAATTTTTAATGACTGATTAAAACATCTAATTATATTAACAAGTAAATATACTTGCATTGTCATTAAAGTGGAACCTATCAGGAAAGTTTGAACGAAATGGCTATATAAGAAATGGGTAAAAAATCAGTTTCATTATTTCCACAAACCCACACACACACACAAACAAGTAAACAATTTAATATTTTCTTTAAATATATAACACTTCTCTTTTTTTACAAACATTTTCAGACGTGTTTTGTCTACAAAAATATTACACAGGGAAGTAACCGGAATTATATTCCGAAAGTAATAAATAAATATAAGCTAAGAGAGATAATAAAAATTATAAAACATTTTGTAGAATTTAAAGCGCTTAACTTTCCATCATTTTACGTAAATTTTCAAACAAACAGCATATCGTTTATTATATTACTTACACAGTTTATTTAGTATTATTATGTTTATTTACATTTTATTTACAAATGTTATGTTTTTTTTCCATAAGGCATACACATATTTAGACATAATTTAAGATATATATTTACGATATTACAATTTTCAGAAGTCAAATGTACTCTGTGAGTTCAGTCTAAAATTTTAATTTTGCAATTGAGTTCAATGAATAAAATTATCGATCAGTCATTTTAGAATTTTAAAATTATTTTTAACAAGTTATTTAAGTACATAGCATATTGCATACATTACAGATAGTTTTAAAATTTACTTCTGTCGATTCTGAAATAGAATTCTGCCGGTCATTTTCTATAATGTAGTGTGTGCCTAGGCTAAATGTATTATATTTATTACAGTGGCGTTGCTAGGTCAGGTGTCGTCAGGTCCGGAACTTCGTGGTGACATCCCCACCCCCCCCCCCCTAAAAAAAAGGTATATAGATATATAAATACACACACACAAACACACACCCACATATGTATATATATATATATATATATATATATATATATATATATATATATATATATATATATATATATATGTGTGTGTGTGTGTGTGTGTGTGTGTGTGTGTTTGTGAGCAGAGGGGCTACAGAGGCCTATAATTTAAATATATGCCACATACGGAAACATGTATGTGTATATGATTTATTCTCTGCAGACTTAATAGCAACGATGATTATCTAAAGTCTGTAAATGATACAGTTGGATATAGCATTGTTGTCTAAAATTCAATGTGTAGGCACGGAGAGAGAGAGAGAGTGTGTGTGTGTGAGAGAGAGAGAGAGAGTTTGGCCTCCCCTAATAGTGGTGTGCTAGGGAGAGGAAGCTTAGAATACGCCGCTATTTAGTGACGGGTAGAGGACTTCCTGAAAGACACAGTTGACCAAATAAGACCCCCTCCCAACCACAAAACCAAGGTACCGTCTCCACTTGTTTATAAACACTGAATTATTTAAATGTAAACAAAACCATCGCTATATTTCTTAAATCGTAGGCCTTGTATGTCGGGGCACGATGTTTTCGGACGTTTTTCATAGATTGAACTTTCAGGTTCGCTTGTGTGTATCCGTCCAGTGCTTAAAACAACCATATACCGTAAATTCAGTGACATTCTGACAACAGAAGAAAATAGAAAATGTATTTTTACACGCTGGTAAGAAAATGCAGCCATTAAATGTTTTAAGTGTAAATATGAAGTAAAGATTCTAAATAATTTTAACTTTGTTTTGTGATTATAGGAAACATGTATTGGAACCAGAAACAACACAGATCCAAATAAGATTAATATATTACTTTACAAGCTGATGAAACTGATCGCCGTTGTAATTGTTATCCTTACTAGTCCATACAGGACAATATGAAGAAATAGTGCGGACAGTAGTAAAAACACTAATGGAAAGGCTCTATCACAGTGAAACAATGTTATTAGTTAGCTACTTTTACCTTACTGTTCAAATACAAAATCCAAACATTACGTTATATATATATACTAGCCGTCCCGGCCAGGCCCTGCTCTGGCTTCTGTGAAAAACCCTTCTGTTAAAGACCATCACCTGTGTGTTTAGTAATCATCATAAACCCGGCATTGCCCACCCAAACCACAACCAACCAAAACAACAAAACGCAAACATAACGCTAACACAATTACAAATACAAACGAAAACAAAAACTTACAACAAACCAACCACAACCACAAACACCAATACGAACACAAAGAAAAAAGCAAACGAAAACAAACCAAATCCAAACACAAAACCAACCACAAACACAAACCCAAAGAAAAAAACAAACGAAAAAGCAAACGAAAACAAACCAAATACAAACGCAAAACCAACCACAAACCCAAAGAAAAAAAACACAAAAGAAAAAACAAACGAAAACAA